GATTCTAGGGTAATCAGTGCGGACAGGAGCTGTAGTTTTTCAAGTCACAGACACCAATAACTTTCTCCTTAGCTATTCCAAGCAGGATCACACTACATGGTCCTACTCATCTAGGACCCTGATGGATTAGGCTTGGAAATCTAGCTGTAACCTGGCAAGGGCAGAATTAGATGGTAGAAGGGGGAAATTAGTTTTGCAGCCCTGATGGATTGCAGTCACACACAGAGGCCATTGGCCAGGGCTAAGGATCCAGGAATACAGAAGCAACTGGAACACCCGAACGGCAGAGTGGGTCACTAGCTGGGGTCAGGTTGGCTGTGGTGTCTGGAGCAGGAGAGAAGGAAGGTCTTGGGACTCTGAAATACACCTGGAAAAAGAGTCGCATGGACTAACACTCATCTGACCTGCCATTCTGACAGGCCCAGACTCTGATCCTAGGCTTTCTTGAAATATGACAACCCCACACTTATCACTTCATTTTTCTCATCTGAAAAATGAGGAGGCTAAACCAGAAAGTCGATAATTCTTTATGTCTGTTGCCTCCCACCTAGAAGTCGATTTTGCATACTGAGTCTCAGTCTGCGTGATAAATAGATGTTCTCTGGTGCATCGCATTTGGCTTTCTAGTTTCTGTAAGCTTGTAAATGATTTTTTAATCCATATTTAAAAAATTATTTAATCTGTGTTATTAGTTCCACTTCATAAATGAAATTGAAACTTGTGGGGGTGAATCCACCTATACAGGTTTTTACCCAACAAGTAACAAAGTCAGATTAGAACCCAGGGTTGCCAGATTCCAAAGTCTCCCTTTTAAACTATTTTTCCCTCTGCCATTTAGAAGAAGCAGTGCTAATGAATGATCAAATAGGAGAGGTTATCAAAGGAAGGTCAGAAATTGGAGAGGAAAAGGATGGGCTTGATAAGAAGTCTGTGACTTCACATGTGAGAGTGGACCTGAAGGGAGAGAAGAGAAAGCAAAGACAGTAATGAGATAATACATTTTAATGTCAGGTTAATTTGGACCTGAAAGAAAATGTGAAAAACATGGAGAAATACTGCTTATAATAGTTTAGAGAAAGGAAGTGAGGGATCCCTGGGTGGCGCAGTGGTTTGGCACCTGCCTTTGGCCCAGGGCGCGATTCTGGAGACCCCGGATCAAATCCCACGTCGGGCTCCCGGTGCATGGAGCCTGCTTCTCCCTCTGCCTATGTCTCTGCCTCTGCCTCTTTCTCTCTCTGTGTGTGACTATCATAAAAAAATAAATAAAAATTTAAAAAAAAAAAGAGAAAGGAAGTGAATACAGGTATGTGTAAGAACCACGGATAACACTGCTGATGAATGGCTAAGATGAATGGCTACCATGCAGAGACAAACCATCAAATGCAAGACAGCCCAGGCAGGACCTGCTGACTTTCCTGTCAGCAGATTTTTCTAAAGATTTTCCTAAATTACTTTGCAAAGCCTTTCAGACGTTTGCCCCATAACAAGAGGAGAGTCATTATCACCAAGTGTACTTATCAGACAATTCTATTATAGATGGAACAGAAAGGCAGCAACCATATCAGTCAATTTTCTGGGAGGGTTCTGGTTTCAAGGTTCCACATGATTATTGTTTGTGTGTTAAGATCGTGTGTTCAGATTTTGCTTGAGGAGAAGATAAAATCACCATAATTATATTATGCCTTCTCTTACTGAAAGGAGATCTAGCTTCTTAATTCATGTGTCAAAAAAGACAAATCGCATAGCTCCTGTTCAAATGAAACACTTAATTCATGTGCCAGAACAAATGTGAAGAAAATAAGTGTAAATATATGTACTGTGAAGATGGGTGGGAAAACTAAAATGCCACATATTGATCTTAAAGAATTTCAGAATCCCCCCAAAAGCTGGGTCAATGAACTACTTAGAAATGTCAAGAATGAGTTTCCAGGTGACATGTGAGATGACTGTCTTGGGAAAGGGCATAGGAGAAGAAGATCCAAGTAATTGGCCATAGAATATGTATGAGCAGCAAAAAAACGAAATCTATGGAGAATACAAAGGAAAAGTGGATTTTTGGGATGAGATCTGGGGAAATACACACTACAGAAAGAAGTGGAGAAAGTGCAAGTAATGAACTTACCTATTATGTATAAAGGGGATGGAGGGGAGACGGGAGGAGTGGTAAAGCCTGAGGAAGGGAGTAAAAGGAAATTTAAAAGAAAGTTTGTCTTTGGGACCCTGATCAGGTCTATTTTAATTCTGACGCTAGCTGATAAAGATATGCAGCAGAACTGACATCTCAGCATGGAGCTCGGAGCTCTTAGAGAACCTGTCCAGTTCTCGTCCTCAGTTTGGAGGGCAGTGAGGCAGAGGCTCAGAGCCCAGTATCTAACCATGGCTCAGTCACTTAGCTGTGGCACCTAGGAGACAGCTCAGTGGCTGTCACTTCACCTCTGTGCTTCATTTCCTTCGTTAATTTCATCTCTTGTATCTGAATATATAAAACTGGAGACATTAATACAAAACCACAGCACTATAACCTAAAGAGCTTTGAAAACCAAATAATTGGGGATCCCTGGGTGGCGCAGCGGTTTGGCGCCTGCCTTTGGCCCAGGGCGCGATCCTGGAGACCCGGGATCGAGTCCCATGTCGGGCTCCCGGTGCATGGAGCCTGTTTCTCCCTCTGCCTGTGTCTCTGCCTCTCTCTCTCTCACTGTGTGCCTATCATAAATAAATAAAAATTAAAAAAATAAATGCACCAATATTTATTAAAAAAAAAGAAAACCAAATAATTTTTCATAAGTTATTTGGTGGCTAAACCTGACCTGAAATGATGTGAGACTATCCCTAGTATCATTTCTGTTCCCTACTGTGAATATTCATAGATTTCACTGCAGAAATGTTAATGTGTTTGATCATAGGGTGCTGCCTGTACCCCATATAGTACATGCATCATTATTTCCTTTTTAAAGTCTGAAAAATTCCTGGGACGCCTGGGTAGCTCAGTGGTTGAGCATCTGCCTTTGGCTCTGGTCATGATCCCGGGATCCTGGGATAAAGTCCCACAATGGGCTCCCCCAAGGGAGCCTGCTTCTCCCTTTGCCTGTGTCTCTGACTCTCTCTGTGTTTCTCACGAATAAATAAAATCTTTTTAAAAATATGAAAAATTCCAGATTCCAAAACACATTTGGTTGCAAGGGTTTCTGGATCTACAATTCATACTTCATAGGGTTACTGTAAGGATTAAATGTGATTATTTATCTAAGACATTTAGGAGAGTGCCTGCCACATATTCATAACTTACTAAGTGTCGGTTATTATTATTATACTGTGTCCTTTCTAAAGGCTCACTTTGTAGAAAGCTGTGAGTTGAAGAATTGAGAAATAATAACAGATATGCTGATTTATTTGGGTGAATGTCAGGGCCTCCCAATTTGAGCCTGGATTGTGTATATACTAGGTTTTGGACATGCCTAGAATACTGGTGATGGTGAGGGGGTGCTTGACAGGGCCTTAGAAACTGAGAAACCAAAGACATTATTGGAAAAAAAAATGCGAATGAAAGAAAAAGAATTAATGAACACAAGTTGAGTTGGAAGACCATGGGCCTGGGTGCAAGTAGCAATTTAGAGCTTAACAGGGTGCTTCTGCCTCATATTCCAGTTTCCTATGGACTTCTGCCTGAGGGCCAGCTGTAGGAAAGAACAAGTCATAGCTGGTCCTGGTGACTCAACACCCAGCTGGGGACGTCTGCCCCTACTGGCTTGGGCTCCTGCAGCAAACAAGGGGTAGGACCTTGGCCCACATCACCAACAGCACCACTTCCAGTGAAAATTGATAGCCTTGCTAACCTTTGGGCATCTACAGCTCCCTGCAGAGGGAGCCAAAGAAGTTTGAGCAAGAGCAACAGAGAGGAGGAACCAGCTAAATGCTGTTTAGTAAACATTACCACGTTACTCTTCTATATTGCGATAGAAAGTCATAGAATAAAAGAAAGAAAAATAAATGGTTGCTAAAAATAAACGATTTTGTGTGAGTTTTAATTCATATGCTCTCATATCTGTGCTTTTCTGAACCTAGGGTGTCCAGCAAATCATGTCACAGCTCCCATGTACAGTGACACAGTGGAGCCTCTGCTTCTCCCAGACAGGGGAAGATGGGAGAGATGGGTCAACAGACAAACACTTGCAAAATCATAAGGCAAGTGCTGGAAAGGGGAATTTTCCAGTTCACATGGGGGCATTTGTGTTACTCGTAAGTAAAGCAGATGCCATTTTCAAATGTGCTGTCCTTGGCCTCATGTTCTTTACTTCACACAATTAAGGGCACATCCACTTTGATTGCAACACAGTTAATGGTAATTCGGGATTATGTTAACATCTAAATGCTTAAGGATGAATGAGTCATATGTCAGGCTGTGACAAAATGCTTCACACTTTAAGTAAGAGATGCCTGATTCTGGCACATTATTAATTTCTAAAGCTTAAATCCAGAAAAACTAGATTTAGGAGATTAATCTCTATTTTATTATAATTCCTTATAATAGGTTTTGAACGCTTCTTTCCCCTCTCCCTATTTTCACAAATTGTCTAATAGACTTAAAAATCCTTTTTACTTTGGTAATGAGTAGCTTCTCCAAGAAGACTCTCAATCCAAGATTTTTAATACTGTAATATAATGCAGGAAAGAGCCAATGCCTTCTGCAAAGGGGTTTATTGGGAGTGAGTCAATCAAGAAAGTATTCCAGGAACTTGAATCTTGAGGAGTCAGGCAGGCAGCATGTACCGGAGGCATGAAGGGGGCTGATGGCATGTAGGAGCAAGGACCCTCTCTAGGAGGCACAGGCAATCATCCAGGTCTTGTCTGAAACTGCAAAGGACTGAGTTGAAAATAACTGAAACACCTGAAAACAAGGTGGTTGCCAGGGCTGTGAGGCTGGGATTTGGGCACACACGGGAGCTTGGCTGGTTCCAGAGGCAAGAGAAGCTCCAGACTAGAGCTTATAGGTGGGCATTTGCCTAAGTGTTCCAGAGGACAATGACCGTGGTGATAGAGATGGCCATGAAGAGCAGATAGAGTCGGAAGAGCAGGGTGTCCATCATGTGGCTGAACTGCACCCACAAGTTGACCAAGTGCTGCCTCTGAGCTTCATCTTCCTGCTGGGCCCTTGTGGACTCAGGACACACATTTAACTCTGCCTCTCTGGGACCTGACACCTTTCCCACCAACTCCACGGGCTCCTTCACACCTACAGAGGGAAAGAGACTCAGCCATGGGTCATGAAGTGCACTTAGGGAGGGAGGGGGCCAGGGAAGGAGGCAGGAGTAGAGGAGTGGAGGTGTGGGAAGAGGAAGTATGGGCAGTGCTGACTCCCTTACCAGGCAGGTGGGTGGGGGTGGGGCCCAGGGTCTTATTTCCCTTCTGGGGTGCAGTGGGGCAGCATGTCCTTGGGTTGGCCCAGTATAGGAGCAGAGAGTGGAGCCACCGAGGCATGGGTGGGGGTTGGGTGGTGGCCAGGTGCAGCAGGTAGGTGATGAAAATGGTCTCCAGCAGGCTGACCACCATCAGGGACAGACACAGGGCAAAGTAGACACCTGGAGGGAAAATTAGTCTGCATGAGGGTCAGAGGTACTTCTCAGGACTTTGTTTTCTCTTTTCCCAGGGAACCCTTTTCCAGGATCTCTTTTTACTCTGACCTGGTTCCACTGGGCCATCTCCCCACCCCATCCCCCACTTTGCTTTTATTATTCTGATGGAGGGAGGGACCTTACTGATGAGGGGGGTGCCAGTTGCAGGGAGTAAGTCATTCATCATGAGAAGGAAGACGTTGTAGCCCAGGAGAAGTGTCATCTTGAATGGAGCACGATTCTCGCTTTCTGCCGGCAGGTAGAAGCTGAGGGCATCGATGGCAACCAGAAAGCCACTGGGCACCAGAAGGTTTATAACATAGAGTCTGGGCCTACGCCTGATGGCCACCTGGAGGGAGGAGAAAGTGAGGAATAGGCTGGGAGGCTGCTGAGCCAGTTAAGAGCAAGAGTTGAGATGTGTCTCAGACCAAACTGTCTAGGAAGGAAATGTTACCTCAAGTCCCTTTCACTTTCCTCTCTTTCCAACAAAGTCATCTTAATCACCAGTCTCCCTTTCCAGGGTTTGCTTCTGCCATCCTGCTTACCACTGAAATGTATCTCATACCTTGTTGGCCCAAGGTGTCAACTTTCTTCACTTCCATTTTTAGCCCTACTAATGTAGGACTCTTAGCAGGACTGTGGGACCAAATTCTTAGGTATCATGTACATTTTATCCTTGTATTTCTGCTTGTTTTCCTTATCAAGGTCTACTCTCTAGTGACCTTGCCAGTGGCCATTCAAGACCAGGGGGAGGTAAAGCAAGGCAGTGGCAGATAATCTGGATTTGAAAGCATAATATCACTTAGTGTTTCATAACTTTTCTACCATCTCTTTTTAAAAATAAATATAAAAATTCTTGCTTTCCAAAGAGTTCTGATAGACATGGGAGTTGGGAAGCTCATTTTCACTATGAGTCACTCCCATAGGAACGTTGTTTTTTCCTCAGGGAGGATTTATTCAATCAAGATTTACTGAGTTCCAGGTACCATTTTAGGTAGTGGAGATTTATCAGTGAAAAAAAGTTATAAAAATCTCCACCCTTATGGAGCTTACGTTCTAGTGGGAGAGCTTAAATTCTGGTGGGGGACATAAGCTATGCATCTTAGAGAAGACCACAACCATGGCCCCTGAGCTCACATAGAAAATGATTTGGTCATACTGGTTGGTGCCCACAGTCATCTTCACCATTCTCTGGTGGATATTCAGAAGTACCCACTCCCCCTTGCTCCGAATGAGGTTCCGTGAAGTGTCCGAAATCTCCTGCACTTTCTTCTCCATGCCAAGGACCATGTTCTCTACTGCAAAGGAGAGCCAGACAACTCAGCCTCGCAAAATGCCCCCAAACCCTTTGCCCAGACTGTTGATCCCTTACCATGTAGCTTCCACACCCCTTTCAGTGAGATCCCCTCATTCTTCCTAGCTTCCTGGCCTCTTCTTTCTCAAAACCCTTTCTCTGCCTCTCAATAGGCCACTATAAACAGCCTCACTTACCTGTGTAGATGAATGAGCTGAAAGTGAGTGTGCAGTTCTGTTCATCAAAGGGGAAATAGAAGATGTCCAGGTTACAGATGCTGACCACCCTCATTGGCTTATCATATTTGATGAGACCTTCGCTGTTGATATAAGCCATGAGACCTGTAGCTGTCTGATCCACATCCATGCTGTATGTATGGGATAGGGATAGGAAGATGGACACTGTGGGTTCCCTGTCAATCTTGGCCCTCTTTCTCAGGGCAGACCATCCCTGTGCTCCAACCCCACTCATTTGACTTCCCCCTTCCACCTATAGTCATATTCTGGGAGGGGGTGTGTGTATGCTCAGTTCAGACATTGCTCCTTCTAAGTTGAGTCTTTGCATGCCCCTTATTGGTTATATCAATTCCTTCCTTGGAGATAGGGTTTCCTTCCTGCTTTTTTCCAGGTCTGATACTCACAACTCCTCGATGAAGATATCTGGAAGCCAAAGATTCTCAGCTGCGATGCTGATCTTCCTGATGCCCCCACATTCCTCTGGGTTCCACCTGATGAATGGATTGTACCAAATCTATAGGAAACCATGGTGTGGGACAAATGGGGTGGGAACTAGTTTTAATCGCACTCCGTCTCCTGTACTTTACATTTCTTTTTTTCTCTCATTTCCTCACTATCCTACACCCTCTCTGGTGACAGCTGCCACTATGTCCTTAACAAAGTCCTTCTAGTTCTCCCTTGATGCTCTCAAAGAAGACCTTGACCTTAGCTTTGGAGTCCCTGGGATGGAGACACTTGAGTCTCGTCTTTCATGATCTTGGTTTATTATACTTTCTCCCTGTGCCCCATCTCTGCACTCCAAAACTGGCATAATAATCAGGAAGTTTTGTGTTTTCATTTGTTAGTCTGGCTCTCTTTAAACTTGTCTGATTCGTGAGTATTCTCAGCTTTATCCACTGTAATCTGCACCCAGAAGTGGAAAATGAGAGGTACCATAGTAAAGGGGAAACAGTCTGTCATACCAGGTTTAGCCACAGGAAAGACGTCATCAGTTGAAGCTGTGCATCCTGAAAAAAACAGTTTTTATCTGGGATCATGGTCTCCATGAGATCAAGTCCAATGCCACCACCTACCTCCTACTCATTTCCAACGCTGTTCTATGTGGCAATTATGATTTTCATTTTATTTTTATTTTTTTGCAATTATGATTTTTAATCATAAACCACTGAAAAATGGAGGTCAAATAACCCAGGGTACAATAAGTGAAATTAAAAGTATGAAAGTCCATTGGGGTTATGTTTCTTATGGAGTAGTCCAAAAAGGGACAGATTTTATCTGCCATGATGTCACTGAAGCATTATGCCCTGTCATATCTTCCCACGCCAAAGAATGAGATTTTTCACTTTACAAAATTCAAGCAGGGAACCCACTGCTTACTACTGCTCATCCCATTGCTATGTTGAGTCAGGACTCACCACTTCCACAATGGCAGACATAGTGAAGGAGATGTTGACAAGAGTGGGGATGCTGTAGTTGATGACTGGACGGAAGGCCTTTCTGTTAAACACTGCTTGGAAGGCAGCAGGATCCACTCCATATCGGTCAAAGCCTGAGCAATTGATGGTGAATATGTTTCCTCTTCCTGCAGAGAGTAGAGACCCTGTGAGAAGAGTGCCAGGACTGGGACTGGCTAGTGTTTCTGCACAGAGAAAACAGGGGGCATGAGAGAAGCATGTGAGCTCTTCCTTCCTGGGCCAGGGAGTGTGGCCTGGGCTGGTAGGCAAATGGTGGAAGTTGATGAGGTGAGCTGAGTCAGGGCTCCATCCTCAATTCCATTGTTTCTGTACCTATGCAAAACTTGTCCAAACATATAGGCAAACTCAGCCCTGACCACCACTTTTCAGTGTCCTGAATCTTACCACAAACCTCTCCACCTTTATTCAGTGTCCTTCTATTGCTCCTCTCTGTCCTTGATACACTTAGGTGATGTCAGTGATAATTTTTGGAATCACGGTTCTTCTCCTAAATACATTAATACAGCATAGATGATCAACAATTAATGACGAAGGCAATCAGGTTGGCAGGATGAGGTATGTGGGACCTTGCAGAAGAAACTCAGGTTTTCAAGTTAATAAGAATGTACTGTGTTTCTGCTATGCTGTTCAATTGTTCTCTTCTAAACCATAGTGGTTCCCACCACTGAGACTGTCTTAAAGAGACTTCCCTGCCCATCTTATACCTGGCCCTTTTCTAGTCATACTTTGTGATGCAGAAATAGAGAATTATGTGATAGCATCTTCTGGTAGAGTCTATTCAGATATGTCTTTGATATTGTACCAACCCTCATTGTTCATTTGCAATAATAATGAGAAAAAATAATCTGTTGAAAATTTTTTCCTGAAAATGTTTCCCTTTTTCATGACAGATCTTCTCATCACCTTCTCCCATTTAGCATTTTCTCTGTTCCATTTAATTTACTTCAAGAGAGCTGAGAAAGAATTTTCTTCTTTTTAACAGTTGATACTCAGAAACATGCAACTGGGTTATGTGTCTGGAAAGAGAAAGACATGGGGAAAGAGAAGAAGCCAAGAGAAGTGCAGGGGGAGAAGGATCTTAAAGAGGTACAAAGCTGCCAGTGTCCTGAGTTTGTACCAAAATGGATATCCAGGCACTGGCTATCTAGGAGTAACAAAAATTAGCCTGGTTTGTCTGTTTCTCAGACATTATATGTTTGCTTTGTTTTTGCTCTTGTCCCTTCTTACCTTGAAGAAGCAGGTGGAGAATGAGGCAGAGGAAGAATCCATTCTCATGGAGCCAAACTCTTCCCATCTTCTTCTCTTTGGCTCTTCTCTGAGATAATGTTGATCTCTGGGGACTTAGTGATGCTTTTGATCTTAAAAGACCACAGGCCACACCTTGAACCCTAGCTTTGAATAATACAGGTATCAGGTGGCCAACTCTCTAACAAGCACCCCCGGTGACAAGAGAATATCACAGAGGACTACCCTACCCTGTGCCCTAGTAAGCCTGAATCTCATCTCCAAAAGTAATTTGGCAAATCAGTTTGGAGAGGAGGAAGAAAAAATATTTGGTAACTAAAGCAGTGCTAATGGTCTCCTCATACTTTGAGTCAGTCTGGCATATAATGCATCAGAAAAGGCACATAATAATTGCCAGTCTTCAAGTGGTACAAGCATTTACTTTAACCTTGCTACTATCTTTCAAAAAAACAAAAAACGGGGGCCTCCTTTTTATAATTGACTTCTGACTCTGAGGTTTTATTTATTATTTTTATTTTTTTATTTTTTAAAAATTTTTATTTATTTATGATAGTCACACACACACAGAGAGAGAGGCAGAGACACAGGCAGAGGGAGAAGCAGGCTCCATGCACCGGGAGCCCGACGTGGGATTCGATCCTGGGTCTCCAGGATCGCACCCTGGGCCAAAGGCAGGCACTAAACCGCTGCACCACCCAGGGATCCCCTATTTATTATTGTTTAAATATTTTATTTATTTATCCATAAGAGACACAGCGAGAGAGACAGAGACATGGGCAGAGGGAGAAGCAGGCTCCCTACAGGAAGCCGGATGCGGGACTCAATCCCAGGACCCCAGGATCACACCCTGGGCCAAAGGCAGACGCTCAACCACTGAGCCACCCAGGTGTCCCTGACTCTGAGGTTTTAAATATGACTTCAGTATGTCAAGTTTTTGATTTTTTGAGTGTGTCAAAAGCAACCCAGGTCTACTAGATGGAGGGAGTGATCAGTGAGGTAGACAAGAGGTGATAGAGGAAACACAATTTTTAGTGAAGTTGACTTATGAGAATATGAGCAAACAGCTTGCAAATTAATGTTGCTTTGGCCCTGCTAATGTTAGTAAGAAATTAGTTATTTGTCAACATGTTAAAAATTGGGAGATTTCATGCAAAACCTGTATTTCTGACTTCATTTGAAAAAATAAAATTAAGCAATACTGGGCTCATGTTGACAACAATCTGCTAAAGCTAATGGTTATGCCCTTTAGATGGAACACTCTTTCTAGATCAACACAGTCTGTCACCAACTATTGATTATTCCTGACCAGCTCCCCTCATTTATGTTACCTGCTTGGCCTCTCTAGGCATTTGAGTTTGCTTTGAATGTGAAGATTGATTTTCTTGTATAGTTTTAAAAGAGCTTTGGGAAGTAATTTCAAAATACCATGCCATGCCTAGGTGATCTCAGGTCTCATCAGATTTAGCATGTACAACTATTTTTTTAAAGACTTTATGTATTTATTTATAGCATGCTCAAGCAGGGGGAGAGGCAGAGAAAGAGGGAGAAAGAGAGATGCAAACAGATTCCATACGCATTGGTCGCAGAGCTGGACATGGGGCTCAATCTCATAACTCTAAGATCATGACCCCAAGATCATGATCTGAACAGAAATCAAGAGTTAGATGCACTGAGCCACCCAGGTGTCCCTAGTATGTACAACAATTTGATTCATGGTGGAAACCAGACATGGTATGGTTAAGTACACCAAAGTCATCAATGGGGTTTAACCTGTTTTATACTAGAATTAATTGCATTAGGGAAGGCTCTAGAGAGGGTAATGAGTGCCTTAGAGAACAAAGGGAAAACAATTGAAGGGGAGGTTGAGTGGATTAGTTGGTTAAGCATCTGCCTTAAGCTGAGATCATGACCCTGGGGTCCTAAGATGGAGCCCCACATAGGGCTCCCTGATCAGTGGAGAGTCTGCTTGTCCCTCTTCCTCTGCCCCTCCCCCTGCTCATGTTCTCTTTCTCTCTCTTTCTGTGTCAAATAAATGAATAAAATATTTTTTAAAAAAGAGGGACAGCAATTTCTTCAATGAAGAAGCTTTACAGACTGAACTAGAATGATTCACTAACAAAGGTTTCCTTATCTCATATTGTGGTTAGAGATAATGTCTGTGTGGTACCTTTCCAATTCAAAGCAATTACTGAATTGAAGTAGAAATAAATGTAAAAATGGCAGTAATAGTAGTTCTTATTGTTACTCTGGCTCTCTTTAGATTGCTCAGGTTGCTTCAGCCTGAATGGAATCTTCTGGACTTAAAATGTCTACATTGACTGAAACAATCCTGGTCTCTGTGAGCATCAGTCTTTTCTCCTAGCTTCGCTCAGCTTTAGGTTACCAAAAGTGTCATCCCTCACTCTCTTCAGCAACCCTTTTCATCATTTGAGAATCCTTTCTCCTATGGGAAGTTTTTTTTTTTTTTTTTAAGGTGACTTTAGATCAGCATTTCTCAAAGCATTTTCTGCAGAACATTATATCTACAGGATGTTGAATGCATGTCTAAAAAATTATTTTTGTTACTTTAAGTTCAAATAAGTCTGGGAAATACTGAATTAAGATGGCTAAATAGATTTTATTATTTTAGGATTTCTCAGAATATTTAGCCAAAATGTTCATGTGACTTGAATATCATATATATAATTTCCCAGACTTAGTTGACTTTGGGAATTTCTTTTTCTCAGAATATCTTGCAGGACTAACACTTCATCCATAATTTTGGGGAAACACTGCTTTAGGTAAATAGAATAAATGTAGAAGAAAAAAACTTGAAAATTCTACAGATGAGATATAGAATGCAAATAGGTATATATAAATAAATCAAGAGATCAAAAAATAAATTAGATAAGTATTTTTTAGATAAACATTATAAAACTTGAAGTTTGATATGTAAGAACCTACAAACAAATAAAAAGTAAAATAGATACAATTTCAAGCTGTTTCTGAATCCATGAGCCATATAAACTTTGGCTCAAGAAGGAATCTTTTTGTTTTTTCTTTTTCTTTAGATCAGTGATCTACCAGCTGTAGACCACATGTCATTCACCTACATCTAATTTTAGGATGAGAGTTTAAAAACATGTTTTGGTATTGTTACTTTTCAAATATGCTCAGACAGTAACATTTCAGTAGCTGAAAAGCAACGCTGATTTTTCTCCTTGGTAGTCTTATAATCAATCAAGTATATAATTTGTGTTTAAGAGTACATATTTTTTCCTCATGGTGTTCAATAAATGAATTACTTTGAGTGAAAAATAAATACAGCCTGAATAGATTTCTAATCTTCCTTTTTTTTTTTAAGATTTTATTTATTTATTCATAGAGACAGAGAGAGAGAGGGAGGCAGAGACACAGGCAGAGGGAGAAGCAGGCTCCATGCAGAGAGCCTGATGTGGGACTCCATCCAGGGTCTCCAGGATCATGCCCTGGGCTGCAGGCGGCGCTAAACCGCTGCGCCACCGGGGCTGCCCCAATTTCTAATCTTCCTGAACAGATATTCATGCCCAAAAAAAGTTATCACAAAAGTAGACTGAAGTGGTTTATCTTTTCTCACCAGAAGCCCATATTTATAAAGTAACACACTTGAGAAGTTTTGGGGGAGTGCCTGGGAGTGACCACTCTTCCAGCCTGTGAAGGCCTGTTTTTAGAGAGAAGGCACCATCTTGGCTGCACTA